AACTTAAAATGATTGCTGCAAAGAATTGCCGTAAAAAGAATTGTTCTAAAGGAGTGCTACCAGAAAAGTAAAGTAGTTAAATTTCTCCAATACGGTGAAGCTTCGTAGAAGAGGGAAACAAACGTCAAGAAGCAATAGCCAATGGTAAGCAACGGTCAAAGGGGGAAAAACTAGTATTCTTAAAGGGGGGTCAGAAGGTGAATGAGGTTGGCTATTTTATCAAAATGGCGTCTTGTTCAAAACTGTATCGTAAAAAAATGTGAAGCTTAAAACAAAATAGTTAACTTCTAAGAAAGTGCTTATCTGGCCGAAAAGAGTTGAAATTGGAAAAATTAGCAATTTTTTAATAAAAAGTCGTAATTATTCGTGCTAGAGGGCGGACAAGCGTGTTTGAAATGAAAATAGCTCTTAAATTAATAAAAGAATAGGTATGGCCAGAAAACAATGATATTAAATTATAAATTTAATAATTTAACTGAATGTCTGTGCCAATTAAGAGAAAAATTGAGGCAGTAGAAGAAAACTATGTTACATTTTTACATTAGATGAATTGAATTAGCCATCCATCAGTTACCTTCCCTTGGGATTTAAGTAAAAATTTCATTATCTAATTCAAATAATCTAAAATAAGAGGTAAATGTCAGCTTTTTTTAAAGAATTTTTAATGATTGTTTTTGGAATAAGGTTGCTTTGCAAGATTTTAATGAAGCAGAGTATTTCTTCTTGAAGAAGGTCTGCGTTATTACAGATTCTTATAATTCTAAGAAGTTGTGCATTAATTGTATTGATAATGACTTTTTTAGAAATGTTAGAAAACCAGTTAGTAAGTTTTAGTGTATCAAAATTAAAGTTTTTGACTTACTAACTGGCTTACTAACTTACTACTACTGAAGAGAGAAATTGTAGGAAAAGCGCTGCAGCCCAGAGTTGAATTCGAATGTATTTTTTCATATTATCTCTATGTGATTTTGAATAAAACCAAACTTTTTTTAATACTGATCTATTTTCTTTTCCTAAAATTGAAAATGCAAGGAGGCACAAATATAATACGCCACAAAAGTACAACGAGACATTTTCTGTAAAATGTTGTAAATAAAGTTTTCGTCCGCCATTTTTTTTTTTTTTTTTTTTACATTTATTTATTTTGGTGAGGTTTAAAAAAACTTTTGGCTTTATTCTTTGCTTGCTTACCTCTTACCTTGTTATACATTAATTTTTAAAAACAGCTCGTAATCGTAGGAAAACAACGATTATGTTAAGTCAACGTCATCAGAGATTTATAGGTAGAAAATTTGTGAAAAATCCATGTTTAAGTGCTATAAAGATTTCTACAGTATTTAACGAAAAATTTTCTACTTCAGTCTCATTTGGAACTGTTCCACGAGTACTCGGATCAGCTGGATTGCATGGGCGCTCTGCTTGAAGAACATTTTTTATACGTGCAAAAAATGTAAAGCTTAGGCTTTCCTGTTCAAATTAATGATAAATAAGCCCGAAGCGTATTGGAATCAGGTCTTATTTGCAGATGAAAGCAAGTTTAACATTTTTGGTTCTGATAGGCTTATAGTTGTATGGAGAAGAAAAATTGAGGGACTTAATCACAAGACCTCGGTTGGAACAGTAAAGCATGTTGGTGAATGTGTCCTTGAGGAAGTGACATGCCAGCATCAGCATTAGGCTTGTGTGATGTTTTCCGACGAGTCCAGGTTTAGCTTGCAGTCTGATTCTCGCCGGACTTTCATATGGAGAGCTCCAGGTACCCGTTACTACCAAGAAAACATCATTGAACGACACCGTTACGGTGGTGCAGGAGTGCTCGTTTGGGGTGGAATTATTATGGATTCTAGAACTGACTTGCATGTTCAAATTGGGACCATGACAAGCCAAATCTATCGGGACGTCATTCTGGAACAACATGTACGTTTGTTTCGGGGCGTTTGTTCGGGGCAATTTGTCTTTATGGATGACAACGCCCGTCCTCACCGTGCAAACATCGTAAGCGAATGCCTTCAATCGGAGGATATCACCCGTATGGACTGGCCAGCATTCTCACCGGACTTGAATCCAGTACAGCACGTGTGGAACATGCTTGGCCGACGAGTTGCAGCCCGTCAACCTCCTCCTACATGTCTACCGGAACTTCGGAGAGCATTGCTTTTTGAGTGGTGTAATATCTCCCAAGATCAGATCGATAATTTGATACTGAGCAGGCCTAGGCGTTGTACGGACTGTATTGCATCGTCTGGGAGACATACAATGTATTAACAATCATACCAACCGTGTAATATTGGTTTTTTGTAAATAGGGGTTTTGTAATTTGCTACAGGGAGAAAAAATCGCTAATTTTTTTAATAATATCAAATATATAGCATCTTTTTTTGCTCTTTAACTTTTGTTTAATAAATAAGCTTTACAAATAAGTAAAATTTGTTTTGCTTCTAACCCTTCCTTTGCCTGATTTTGCATTGTCCTTAATTTATGGACATGAGTGTATTTTGAAACATAATTTAAAATTATGCACCCAAAATTGGGGTACTGGAAAGAACTTTATTTTTTTTATCAGGGTAGCAATCCTGAGCACATGGCCCTCAACGTTCGCCTTTGGTGTGTCTATAATGATCCACAAATTCTGAAAACACCACCTCAGTTACCAAATTTAAACCCGATAGAACACATTTAGAGATAATTAGAAGTTAGCGTATGAAGACACAACATTGAAACGAAACCAAATAAAAAGAGTAATGACGGAAGATTGAAAGAACATTAATGAAGATATTACGAAAAAAAAAAAAAAAAAAAAAAAAAAAAAAAAAAACTAATGAACTCTATGCCCAGACGTTTGAAAGCTGTCATAAATACTGCAGGATATCCTACGAAGTACTAGCTGACAGAAATATTACAATATTTACTACTATATGCAGATTTCTTTAAATTGTGGGAAGACTTTTATGAGGTAACGTTTCTGTTACTTTCGATTGTTAATTTTTCAAGAAAGAGTTTTATTATGTTATTAAATATAAGCCTGTATATTCAATCATACCTCCTATACTCCAAAGCTCTCCTTTATGACTAACAAAATTAAATCCCTAAAATTAAAACTATATCTTAAAGGAAAACATTTCATCGGACATTCAGATATCCGAAGACGGGCGTCATGCCGTGTTAGAATCCTATTAGAAACAGACCTCTTCAGTCTCTATTTAGTTATGTTATCATACCATTTCTTATGTTAAGACACCAGAATATTCTTTGGAGTAATCTACACCAGTAAAAATTTTACAGCTTTTTCAGGTTTAAAAAAGGGTAGGAAGGATAAGGATTCATTACTGCATTTCTTCGCGTACTTTTTCGAGTTTTTTAATTAATTTAATCGCCTAAAACAGAGATAAAAAATTACGCAAATAATCTAATTTCTGAAAAAGCGGTTACAGTTGGAACATAGCAAATGAAAATTGGTCATGGATAAACTACTAATAACTATAGCAATATTATTTCTTTAAAATAAATAATACTCTAATAAAGAAATAATACTTTAAAGAAATAATTAAAGAAATAATACTTTAAAGAAATAATTAAAGAAATAATACTTTAAAGAAATAATTAAAGAAATATGTTTTTAAAAGAAATAATACATAGTAATATACATAACAATATCTGATGAATAGTGAGCCGATGGCTGATGAATATGTGAGCCGGAGATGTCGATTTCCATTTGAACCTTAAAAAGCCCAGGGACACAGTCTTGACAGCAGTCCACAAGAGGGAAATCAGAGGAATAAAGGGGAAGGGGGACATTGTTCGTCCCCCTTTTATTCCATAAAACCCAAAATTAGGAAGATTGAACATTTCAACGGTAGATAAGACCACTATGAGCTAAAACGTAAATAACAGAAGTAAGGTAAAAAGTTTTTTAATGTGAGAACACACGTCACGTCTTCAAAAGAAGAATCTGAACAAAATACGTTTCAAATGATAAATGTAAGGGAAAGTAAAATGGATGAAATGTTAATGCAAAAATATAAATTGAATAAAAATAAAAATAATCAACTGAATACAATTTACTTATAAACTAGCCTTCAGAGGGGAAAACTATGTACAACAAAGGAAGGGGAAAATTATTCCAATATTTTTAAAATTTTCAGAATCTAGAGCTAAAAAATTCTGGGGGGGGATACGCAAAATTCGCTAGAAAAAAATGGTATTTAATTATCACGTTATGAAAGTTAAGAGAATTCTTTCACTCATTTTCTATATGTCATTCAAGGCTAAGTTTTTAAAATTATATATTTGGAACAAAATTTTTTATGGAGGTCCTCTCCTTTAATTTTTCAAAGTGGTATACATTATTTCTCTAAATGAATTCCGCAGTGTTTCATGAATTAACATAACAATTTAAGACAATTTTCATTCAATGTTACTTGACCAAAAAAATAAATAAATATTTTTTTTTTTTTTTTTTTACTTTCTGTATGTTTTGTTTTCATGATTTAAATTTATTACGCAGTGTATAAAAAGATAAACTAGCTAATAGCATAGCACACAAAGGTTATTTGTTCCCTACACTCTTTGCTTAAAAGAAAATTAAAAAAGAAAGTAGAAAACTTAGGCATACCTTGAAATCTCTTAAAATGTTTTTTCTTATTATAGTTTTATAAGACCAAGAATTTGAAAAAAAATATATGTGTATATATATATATATAAAATATTTGACACATTTTAAATACCATAGAAACATTTCGAAGCCTTCCTGAAAACTGAAGCGACGGACAAACGCCCTCCATCTGCTTCTGCGTAAATCAGGACCTGACCCATTAGAAAATCTTCAGAATAACATAAAACAAATAATATAAAACATTAAAAAAATTCAGCTTATCTTCTGCAACTCATACTTGATGCCTGAATAAGAAATAAATTGCAACGTTCAAAACAGTGGCTTACTAAACCACCTGTGCTTTCTCAAATCCTGAAGTGTTGGGGAAGATAAAAAACCATGTATTCTGTCTCTTTTCATTTTGAGAGCACTTCATCATGCATCTCGTTGGAGTCTCGGCATTAATAGCGTTGCTTTTAATTAGAATTGAAAGTAAGGAAAGTCACCAGGAAAAGAAACAGATTGTAAATGACGTTCACCAACATCAAGGATTTATTACAGCAAAAGAATTTTTACAGAATTATGTGTCTGCAAGTGTTCCTTTACTGATGAAATCTACGGCAAATTCATTATTTAAGGAAAATTTTGAATTTTATGCTTTAAAATCCATGCCTGAGTCCTTCACCACTTACCTCAATGTTTCAAAAAATGGTGAGGATTTTTACAGATTCATGTCCATTAATCAGTTCGTAAATGTTTACTCAGATGAAAATCTTTTCATAGATGCATCAATACCGCCTATTCTCAAGTAAGTACGATAAAAGAATTTTACATTATCCATATAAAGATAAGTTTTGGTCATTGCTGACATCATTGTATTATTAATTACTGATATTGCATGTACTACAGTGAAACAATTGTGTTTTCCATTATTAGATCACTAGTGACTCTACCACAAATTCTGCAGTGTAAAGCTATATTGGAAAATCTACACCAAACGGTACTAGTTTTATGCTATCATTACTTCCTCTATTTACACTGAAATGAATTTATAATATTAATAAAAGTTCTGAACTGAGAAATTTTGATGTAAATCTTCACTCTGATCCTATTTACATAATTCTTCCTCCGCTAATTGAAATTTTTTGGCGGCTTATATGCAATTATTCAGTATTTGTTAATTAATTACAATATTTTTTATGTTTACTTTAAGTAAACGTAAAATAATATTTTGATAAATTAATAATTTTAATAATAATTTTGGTAATACCAAAGGTTTGATTAAGTAACATGAAAAGGTAATCACTTTTAATGTTAATTAAACTTCTTTCATTCAAATTTCTGTAAATTTAGCATTTTAAATGAAGCATTACAATTAAATAAAATTAAGGTAAATTAAATAAAAGTTTAATAAAACTTAAATATAATTATTCATTTTATACATCGTGTTTTATAATTTTTCCTGGAAATGTCTTGCAAAAAGAACATTTGATTTATTAAAAAGAATATAGTATAAAATATATAGAATATTCGTTAAAAGAATTCTATATATTTATTTTCATTCACGTATTGATTTATGCAGTCAGTCCAACATTCTCTAGTTCGGCATTCATATTTTTATTAGCACAGAAAGGGCTATTAATGTCGAAATGGGATTTTGCCTCAGTTCACTATAAACGGCGAATCACTTTTCAAATTGTTGCCGCCAAATGTTATTGCTCTGTATTATTTTTTAAAAAAATTAAATAATGAGGAATCTGCATATATGTACGTTCTTCTCAATGTGAAAAAACAACGGTACCTGGAGCGATCAAATTTCGTATAGAGTAGTCCTCCAGATTGGTAGACTGCGAACTCAGCGAGAGCGTAAAAAACCTTAACAAACACTTTTAGGCAACCGTTAAAATCTGACAAATTTCCGATTTTTTTAACTAAAAATTAATTTATTAGTTATTGTGTTGCTCCGAAATTAAGGTCTAGAACAGCCGTTCTGAACTTTTTGACTAACGCGTACCATCTAAACAAAAATTGAAAACCTTTAGTACCACCACTACAAAGTACTACTACCACCACCATTCTTGAACAAAGTTCAGATTACATAAATTTACGAGTGTTAGAGAAAAAACTGAATTAGGATGTTGGGGTTTTAATTTTTGAATTTAATCGCACTTTTTTTCTCAGTGGTACGCGTACCAACGCTTGAGAACCCCTGGTCTATAATTTGAAATAAAATAAAATGTATTTACTGTAAATATTCTAGCCATAAAATATGACTTACTGGCCAATTTGATATACTATGTTTCTTCGATTGTAAGATGCACTTTCCCTCAAATAGACTTTGTTAAGGTCAGAATGCAGCTTAGAATTAATAATTTTTTCTGAATCCTCAATTACCCTGAAGTAATTAATTTTTACAGAAGCTTAAATAGATATATTATTGTTGTTAAATAAACTGAAGAAAAGTATTAAAAGATTATTCGCTAGATGCGTTTTACCATTTTATTTCATACATTTAATTTGCTTATAAGCAAAGTATTTTCTGCTGGTGATGTTAATACTAAATAGTGCAACTCATACTCGAAGAACTATAGTATTATGAATCTCAAAATGAATAAAATTAAGATGGAGTCCGTTGAATTGGACAAAATTTCAGGTTTTGTTTTGCTTTCTTTTAACAGAAAGTTCAGTTTTATTATTAAATACTTAGAATGATAATTTGAAAAAATAATTTCCGACTAAAGAAACTGTTGTAATATTTGGAAGTTTGTTTTAATATTAACTCATTTCTGATGTTTCGCAAGTTCCTAATTTTTTTAATCAAATTAGAAGTAATTTTCTGAATTTTATTTCGATTAAAAACAACTTTATTAATGAATAATTAATGAATAAATAAATTTCTGCACAGCGCATTAAAAATTTCTACTCTTTTAAGTGAGATAAGCACTATCATGTAAGGACTGTCACTGTAAACATTAACTGATTCCATTTAAAAACCAACTATATTTAATGAATTTAATTTAATTTTCTTTAAACGCCTTTATGTAAATATAGGACTCTTTTTCATAAAGATTAAATTATATTTAGCGTCAAAAAATTATACATTTGCAATCATATCTTGCAGATATCACTTTTATCTACAATTTAATTTTTCTGTTTATTTTATGCGCGTAATATCACTTTAACACTTTTAAGAGGAGCTATAAAACTGGACTTACTGTGCTTACTTACGTATCCCCCTTTCATTTTACTAATTTTATCATATGAAAATCGAGAGGGGAAAATTGTGCAAATAATTTAATTTTCGAAGGACGCAATTACAGCACGAAAATAGCAAATGTAAATTATTCTTATAACTACCGCTTACTATCAAAATGTATTTAAATTTATTATTTATTTAAAAGAAACCTACTTTGCATGAAGAATACATAGTAATATTAAATTTATATCTAATATGATATCTTCATTTCTACTTCTTTGTACCTTAAACTCTCGCTATTATTCTTGTCTACTATACCCCTAAAATCATGCACTGTTGTTGGAACTGTTGTCCTGCATCGTCTGTAATAGCATGCAGGTTGTTACCAACGTCATCGTTATTAGCATCTTCGTCACTGTTCATTCAGTCTTCTCACGTGTAGTGGTCTTCAGAACCATCAAGAGCATTGGGATACTTTCGTTTTCTTGAAAATCTTCATTATAATTGCTTCCTCAATCAGAGCCCATGCATCCGAAATCCACAAGTAAATAAATTAATAAGACTAAAACAACCACTACATAGACGAATCCTTTTTTTTTTTTTTTTAATTCAGAGGAGTTCACTTTCTGAGCCGCCTTGAAGAACAGGGGTATTACGTGAATATTTTTCAAAATCTTGAGCTAAACCCTAGGGGAGAAATACATGAGGAAATAAGGTATTAGTACCACGGAGTTGAATTAGGACCTGAAATGAATACAACAGTGCTTATGTGGGTAAGAATGAACATAAATTTCAGATCATAGACAAAGAAGGAATAGCAAGTTTTGAATTAATTAATCTGCAAGACAATCTAGAAGTTCTGTATGAATTATTCACACGAGATACAATTATGTCAAAAATCAGATCATGGTCGGCGCTAAACCTTTTTGCCGTTTGGTGTAGTTTCTTGAACCTCTTAAATCCTGTCATCCAGAGTCTCATTAAATTCTATGGGGCCGCCCCTAAATCCTGCCGTCTGATGCCACCGCACTCTTTGCATCAATTCTAGCCCGGCCCTGAATCAGATTTGAGGTGAATTGTTTCTGAAATAATGTGATGATGAAAGCAACTTGATCGATAGTTATTTTCACTCTGCGTATGAACGTTCATGATACTTTATATATCAGTCTGTACGGATTTATTTACTTTTAATAATTAATTAATGTTAATTAATGTTTAATTTTATGTTAATTATTTTATGTTTTTATGTGTCTTTCTCGTTTTCCATTTTCTTACCAAAATGCTAATTTCTAGTTCGGGTGTATTTTCAAATGAGGTAAAAAAGTGATAGTATACTATAAAGCATCGTTTTCCCTACCAGAATGTAAATTTCCAGAGCGCGATTTCCAGAATTCCCAAGTTTAAATTAGGTAGAAAGAAGGAAGTACTTGAAGGAAGGTTTTGGATGGTGGACTTAGTTTTGGAGGATGTTTCTGCCTGCTTGAAGGCCACGTTGTCAACTTTGATTCTCTAAGGATTAGAATTCTGCTGCGTTGAGTTATTCTTGCCATTAAGCTTGTTTACGCCGACTTCGGTCAGAATCAGCTTGCTCGCTAATTAAACTTTGAAGCCGTTAGGCTAGACTTAAATTTAATTAATTTTAGTTCATCCATTATGTTTGATTTAAAGCCAAACGTGTTGGCTTTTATAGATAGGAATTGGTGCCATTTGTTAGACTTTATTTGGATTAATAAAAGGGCCTTTTACACGCTTTCCCTGCCTCTATGGCACTTACATAGCGATAATTCGCCCCTTGTCTGTCAGAGTTTTTGTTTAACTCTCCTAAAAAGACCAAACTCTATAAATATCATAAAGTCCATTTTTAAATGACAAGGACACAAACACATATTGTAAAAATGACATATTTTTAAATCACTCGGACAATACTGAACTGCAAAGCGTTTTCTTGCAGCATCACAGAAGAGACATATGTACACGGTTTTATAATACTTTAATGTTTAAAGTTTATAATACTTAAAGTAATGTTTAAAGTAAAAGTAAAGTAATGCTTATAGTTTAATAATACTTTTATAATACCAAATCTTCTAGAACCATACAGACAGTCAGACAACTTACTCCCGTCTAGACTCTATTTACAGAAATCAAGCGGGTCTACAGAAATCAAGGTAAAGCTTTAAAATAAATTTATTCATTAACGCTTCAACATGGCGGTTATACAAAACATAAAAATATAACAGATAACAAACGCTACAGTTTGCGAGAAATCAGAACAAATATTTAAGTCACGTATTGTGAAATTCAAATTAATACAACCTAATAAACCTTGGTTCGGCCTTAAGTATTCGCGAAACGGCTTATTAAAGCCGATAAATTTAGTACAAGCAGTAGAAAAGTGTAGCAGAAGGTCAGCAAACGTTGCAAAATGTTCTCTTTCTTCTAACTCTCTAAACTGTGCTCTTATCCATATTTTAACTTGCATTCTATTGAAGGTTGACGAAAGTAAAAGTAGTCAAGCTAACAAGATATATGGCTTAACTAACATAAAGTCTTATATATGAAACTTGTAAAACACCTATTACAGTAGTAACGCTTACAATGATTTCATTATCTCCAACGGATTAAATTACATTATTTGATTGGCAAAGCACATTACGGCTATTTGCTTAAGAAGAAAAATGTTTTGAAATTTATGCTATTTACTTAAGAAAAAAGAAGTGGCTAGCTTTCATATTAACAGGAAAAACACAAAATCGTTCATGCAGCTAGTAGTTCAGCATGGGCCACTGGTGGACCGTATCTCCAAAGAACTAGGACCAACAAGAATCTAGATGAGACTCTAGATCTTAAGATCCCCACTCAATTCAGCCTTTAGAAAAATGCATTAACTTTTAAAAGAACATCAACGCTACAATTGAAAATATCATCCATACCTATTTTATGGTGATACTGTTGTTCCTGTTTGAATGGACACTCTTCTCCGCCTCTGTATAGCAACGCGAAAATCATTGGAACCACAGTGATTTAGAGAATGCTAAGCGGCAATAGTGTAAACTTTGCAACTTTCTTTAGATTTGTTTGATGCAGCTTGAGCAACATTCAAGATTTAGAGGTTAAATAGATGGGTGAGATGTTAAATAGATTCTATATTAGATTAATTTGTTTTGGTATTCTAATAAATTCACTTTTAAACTAGACTGAATGTTGATTTAGATAAAAATACCTGCTGAACCATGTGTAGAAATTTAGATGGGGCATTAAGATTCATTGTAGAACTTTGTTAGATAGCTACGCCATTATTGTATATTGTACATTTCTCAAACATAGAGAAGAATCTTATTCCTGTAGAATGAGGATGGCTACTTACAGCATTTGTCGTTATGCCAAACACTAGGCATCTTTTAAATCTTTTAAGGTGCATGCTGCCATTGCATGCACTTGTATATATTATAAAATATTAAAATAGTCTCAAATGCGGAAAGTATTGCTGCCAGGTTCTTTCAGAAAGAGGGTGACTTCTTCCATCATTTGTTAATCGATGCATTGAATATCTGTTGAGACAGTTACATTTGCCTATTACATTTATATCAAGCGATAAATCGGAATCTTTATAATAGAAAATTTCTATATTAACACAGAGTGACAAGAATAATGTTTCGGGCTTAAGTATAACAGTCTAGTGATTTAGTATATTTAAATAACGACAGTTAATTGCAAAATTTTTAATTCGCCAGTTGCACATGTCTAATACCTTACAAATACTTTTTTGACTACTTCAGTTACCTCTGAAATTAATTTTATTGTGTTCCGTATCCGATTTAAAATTTAGTTTATTTACAAGATCCAATTTTTTCCTCTGAACTCACAATCCTGCAAATACGGAAAAGAATTTTTGGAACATAATCCAAAGCAAATACTGCTCTAAAATTTTCAAACTTTTTTAGCGCCTCATTATTCGCTCAGGGGATTGGAAGAGCAGCTTCTCAGCTAATGATCATCATTCGTTTATCTGTCAAGTAAATGGAAATTCAAGGTATCATCTTATCCATCCAACCAGAATCAACTCAAAAGTAAGTTATTTTTGTCTAGATTTATTTAGCATAATAATAACAATTTTAAAATAATTTTTGAGTTAATCTAATACTATTATACATTAAATTATTTTCTAGCTATTTCTTCAAAGTGACTTTTGGAATTCCTTAGTAAGTTGGTAAAAATGAGCTGACAGTATAATCTCTGGTACTATATACTTGCTATTCAGTGACGATGACATTGTATAGTTATCAGTTTTTATATATTTTTACTTCCTTGTACGAAGAAAAAAGGAAGTATTGTAATCTCGAAAAACTTCAGGCATCATATTTCAGCGAAAATATCCATTTTGACCGCTATCGAATACAATTTAACGATATTTTTGCTTGACATCTGTACGTAAGGACAGAGAATAAAGGACTCTTTTCCCCACAAAAAATTATAAAACTGATTTAAAATGAATTCTGAAAAGAAATTTTCGTGACGTCTGTGCGTATGTACGTATGTACGTATCTCGCTTATGCGAGATAAAAACCAGTAGCCTCAGAATGCTGAAATTTTGTATAGGATTGCTATAGCATGTAGATGTGTACCTCGTATTTTTTTGGAAATCGCCCGCACCAAAAGTATATAAATATATGTATATCCACTCTGTTTACTCGGCTCAGTAATCCCAGTTTCTTTATCCTTATATGTTTGTAAAATGTGCACTTTTTGTTTTAAAAATGATTGAATTATGTTGTTCTTATCTTCCGGTTAAAGTTTTTATCCCTTTAGTAAATATATATACAATATTTTTAAAATTATTAACAATTTAAAAGTTGTTTAAAAGCAGCTAAGCCTAATTCGTTTGCTATAGCAGCCATATTTGTTTACATTTGAAACTTAGCAGAATAGTGGATTTGTTGCCAATCTAGAGAAACCAACCTTCGCAACAACAAAGATAACGCCTTCTTTTATTATTGCGAATTATGCTTAATCCATTCTGGGATTTATTCGAGGAAATAAGTGTTTAAGATTTACGTCATAGTTTTTAATATAGATATTTTGAGTTTTTATGTATTTTTCCCTTGTCGTGAAGAGAAAACTGTATTAATTGAATGAGAAATACTGATTCGTCTGTGAAAAACTGTTTCTTTTTGTTGTTGTTTGCTTAATTTCTTTTATACATCCTTTTAGATTTATTATAGTTCTTGTATAGAATATTTGGCAACGATTAGATAATTCTTCAGATGATATAAATTTTCTGCATTGAGTTAAAAAATGAATGAAATGTAACGCTGTTAAGTGAACCTAGGGCCAGAGTGTCGCTATGGTAAACAAATGTAGTGAATTTTAAAGCGGACATTTATTTTATTGTGATTTATGCGCTATCGACGAAATAAATTTAATTCAATCCAATAAATTTAAATGAAATGCAAGATAAAATGCGTATAATTTAATATTCCGTACAAGGAAGTCATGTGGTGTACACATCAGATATTTTTATTTATGGTTCATTAATAAGTACATTGTGTAATATTTTAATGTTTTCTTACCTAGTCTGCACTCTCGGATGCGAATAAAAACTCGATTTCCGAAGATCATTCATTGCATCCAGATTTATCTCATGCAGAAGAATATACTCTTGTATCTTTAGAACCTGGAGACTGCGTGTACATTCCATTTCTGTGGTATGTAGAAATAATATCATTAGAGTCATTAATTGGAAAAGAAAAAAAAAATAATAAAATTCGATACTGATAGTAAGGTGTCCGCCGAAAACATCGCGGACGAAAACAATGCAAGGCGAAAATGTCGTATTACATCGTGGGAGAAAAGAAAGCAAAGAGAAAAAAAATCGTGGTACAAAATATCGTGGTCGAAAATAAAGCAGTTTAAAAATAGCGTCGTCGAAAATATCGTGGTAAAAAATAAAGTACCTACAATTCGTCGCATGACGATAATATCGCACACTGCGTTTTTCAGGTTGTAAAAGTAAGTGCATTTCGCATAATGATTTGGGAGCGCAAGAAGAAAAGCGGGATATTTTTACTTCTGTATTTCATAATTTTTAATAAACTAATAACTTTTTGCTGAAAATGTGTGTGTGTGTGTATTTAATTATGGCAAAGCACACTAGGGCTATCTGCCTAAGGGGAGGGATGCCTTCGTGGAGGACTTTCTAAGGGAAACTGGCTCGTATACACGTTACACATGGGGAAAACCACGAAAACACTCATGCAGCCAGTCCGTTCGCGGGACTCGAACCTCGGACCGAACTACCAGTGTTCAGCGACTTTACCGCTCGGCCGCTGGTGGGCCCTTTTGCTGAAAAAGTAAGAAGTAAACTTGCGCATTTAAAAACTGCAAATGAAAAGAAAATTAATGCAACTTACAGCACTTAAATTTACATAGTGAATTACATATTTTACTGATTGTTTTATAAAGTTTTCCTGAAAATATTTAATGAAAAACAGCTTAAAATGCTTAGAAAAAGGAAGATAAATAACTGCATGAGGTTACCTCTATACAAATTGCTTAGTTAATTATTAAATTATTTTCTCTCACGTTTGTTAATCTGTTATTGTTTTAGTGAAAATTATATCTTGTTTTGTTTCCGTTTATTCGTAAAGTGTCGTTAGCGTTTTCTCCCTCTTTCCTTCTTGCGCTACCAAATCATTATGCGAAAATGCATTTACAACTTTTAAAAACCTGAAAAAACGCATGTGTGCGATGTTGTCGTCATGCGATCGATGGCTTACTTTTTTTTTTTTTTTTCGTTTTTGTTTTTTGTAAGTTCCTTGTTTTACCACATTTTCTACTACGATGCTCTTAAACTGCGACGTGTTCTGTTTCCTTTCCTTTCTCCTACGATGTTTTGTACCAAGACGTTTTCACCTTGCGTTGTTTTCTCCACGACGTTTTCGTCTACGATGTTTTCGTCTGTAACCGATAGTAAATAGTACTGAAAATTGAGTAAAAGATAGGCTGATATGCATTTTGAAAGCTGAATAACAGTAAGCTAATGTTCGTAAATCTGCTTCTTTAAAGAGAAATCAGAACTACTCCGGCCAGTTATTTTTTATTTCTTCATAAACAGGAAAACAAATCACAGTTCTTAAACAATTTCTAACGCTCTTGTGTAAAATTTACTTTTTTCTGGATATACAGATGTTTAACGATATTTTTAAAGAAAGCGATTCAGATTCGAATTATTAACATTGCAATTTAAATTTGATAGTGGAAAAAAAGTAAATTTGTAATCCCAAACTGGGAAGAATAAAAAGATATTCTAAAAGTTTAACACAGAATTGAAAAACAAATACTGCCAGATCATCCAATTTGGCATTTTAAATTGATTTTTAACATGTTATATTTTTCTTCCCCCTTTTTTTGCTTATTTTTTAAATGGCGAATACTTTTCATAATTTAAGTAATGTTTCACTCACCATGCTTTATACATTTTCTAAATTAATTTTTATTTTGAACAGCTTTGCCGGCAAGATGTGTTTTATTTTTAATATATTTCGGCTATTACATTTATGAGGAGGATGCAAACACATCTCAAATTAGTTAATTAAAAAAAACTTAAAACAATCTTAATTTCAAATTAAGATGAATTTAATCATCTTAGTCATTTTAGTCATTTTATTACTTTAATTTTATCATTTTTAGTCATTTATTACTTTAACAGGTGTCAACAATGGAATACCACAGGAGAATACGTCGGCTTGACTATGAGCTGGAATTCAGATATTAATTCATCATTGTCAAAGGAATGTCAAGAGCAACAGAAACAGTTACTTTCGCTGAATTTTCCAAATGACCCAGAGGAAGATATATTTGCGGAGCTTGCATTCATTGAAATGTACGTAGTTTCAATATAATACGAACATTCAGAAATAATGAATATCATGTTAGATAAAATATAAGGCGAAATTCTCCTATTAAAATTCCTTTCAAACAAATATATTTTTATATACATAATTTAAAATTTCTAAAATCTACTAAGAGACCTGATCACTCAATATTTAACGGCTGCGTCAAGAGAAAATATATTTATTTGTACCCTAAAAAAACTGCGCTGAAATCATTTAACCAAAACTTTCTTATAGAATCGTTCAACATATTAAGCTCATGTAAGAAAGGACCGCTTACAGTCAAACCTTTTATTCCCTCAAAAATACTGGCTGGTTATATATGTGACGCAGTCTCATATTCGGGCCAATACAATATGCTATAACATTTTACAATTCGCAGAAAAGAGTAAAATATTCCGAAATTGAAGACTTAAAAACCAAAATGGCGGCATTTACACTACCATTTGTAGAGTCAGTTAGAATTTTTCGATGCCAGGAGCCTGAAGAAATCCGCAACGCCCATATCAGGATTTGGACTTCGGACTTCTCGAAATACGCTTTCATCAAGCTTCCAGTTACACACCGAAAGTATTGATACTTTGTTGGTTAATCTGGCGTGCAACGGGAGATGGTCCACGCCTGCTTTTTCCAAATTCTTGAATGAGTCTCCTTAGAATCCTGGCTTATGTAAAAATCCAAAGATGAAACATCTCCAGTTGATATAGTCTTGTAAAAGAAAAAGATAAATGAAGTCCTGAGTTTTGGTGATCAGCAAGCCATGTCTTATAAAAGCATCAAGTATAAAGTTCTGAGTAAGTACGTTGAGCTCTCATTGGTCGGTTAGGTAGTCTGTAGCAAATGAGAAGCGAATGGGCGAAGAAGTTTGTCTTCCTCAAGGTATTTCATAGCTTAAGATATTAGCGAAATTAGCCGAGTTGCAGCTAATCGCTCTTGAAATTTTTTTCATTGATGCGATTAATAAATTCTTGAATTTCTTCTAAGTCTGCAGACTACGATTTCTGACGAAGTAAGGAGCTCCGGTGATTATTCTTAAGAACATGTTTCGAAGGACCTGAGGTTTATTTTAGTCTTTGTCTTTTGCGTTTGCCCAAGCAGGGGAAGTGTATGTGAGAATCGGTCGAATGGCCATAAGACAAAGTCTCTTTTTCAGAAGTAGTGAAAGCTGTTCGCATTTTAACAGTGGAAAAAAGTCTGAACATGATTCTGTAGGCCTTTTCACATGCTTAAGTGATCAAATGATCATTTCATGAGAAAGTACTATTGAAGATAACTCCGAGATAGCTTGCTTTGTTGACTCTTGGAATTGAGGAGCCAAAAAATGTGACTTGACTTTTAATTTGGTCGAGTCTACGACGTTTCCTGATGATTGACAGGAAAAAAATACCTTATGTACTTCCCCTTTTAAACGGCGACTTGGGATGAAGAGACCCAATCGCCAAATCCTGCTGGTGACGAGTTATCATCCACTAATTTTTAGTTCGGGCGCTACTGTGAAGCCATTAGAATTTTTCGATGGCAGGAAAATGAAGAAATCCGAAATGCCCTCGCCGATATTCGAACTCCGCACCTCCCGATAGATGCATCGAGAGTGTGCTTTTTAAAGTTAAAATAATATTTACATGCAGTTTCAGAAATATAGACAATACTATTTATTAGATAGCAACAAAAAAAAAATTTTTTTTGGATCCCTTCTATCGCTGTTTGTAAGTTCACTTCTTTCTTTTCCTGTAATAGAATAACAGTAATTTGATTTATTTCAGTACCAAATTGTTAGAAAGTTCAGAAACGCTGTAATTACTTTTAGACAAAGTCTAACCGAGTCTAATTTTTTTTAAATATTGAAAAATACAAGGGTAGGTTTTTCCCTGACGTCTCTTGGTAAAAATCCCATTAACGAATATTAATTATATATTGCCATATTAATATCCATATGCGTAGTATGATTAACAGTCCGAAGAAAAGGTCAAATTAGAAACTCAATAAAGAGTTAAATGATTAAAATTTCAAAGCATATATTAAGTTCTCAGTTTTTTTAGGCTAAACGGAACTGTGAGGCCCGGTGGTTCAGTGGCTAGCGCATCGCGCAGCAGCACCACAGGTCCGGGGTTCGAACTCGGGCTGGGCAAGATCGACTTAACCTTTCATCTCTCAATTTGCATCCTTTGGGTCGATAAAATGAGTACCAAGTTCATATGCACTCCGGAGCCCACGGTCAAGAAAGCAGATTTCAGGGCACCGCAGGCCTTGGCCCATTAGAACTGTTTGCACTACTGAGTTTAGTTAAACGGAACTGTACTGATGTATGTTTTTCTAATTATTTACCTTTTATCATTTAATTAAGTATTTAATGTAATGAAAATCATTTTATAATTTTATTTTCAGGCATTACTTCATTAAAAAGTATTATTTAAAGACAAAGGATTCTATGAATTTAGAAAGTTTTGTCACCGCATTTTTAATGGTAAATGATTTCTTTAAAATATTTATGCGTTTTCTTGTAATAAATATTTTACGTTTCATGCTTTTGAATACTGTTGTTATAATATAAGTTTTCATAGACAATGTTTTGTGTCATAAGATTGATGCTGAAAATATCTTTATATAAAATAATAACTTACACGCATTAAAAAATATATATCGAGTATATCAGAATTGATAACCATAACTTTAAAGGGTAAGAGTAATAAATAAATAAGAATAACAAAAGTAATAAATTTCGTAAATTTCGTTGGAATTCCGAGATACCTGATGAACTAAGAAGGAAGTTCTTGGCATGGTAGTCCGAAATCGAGGATCTTGTTAACATTAATATTCCTAGAAGATATTTTTCGTGTGGCTCAGCAACTGATGCAGAAAATATGATCCTAATTGTTTTCGCCGATGCCAGTATCAAAGGATATGGTAGTATAGCGTATCTTCAAAATCCCACTACTTTGGAGACATCCTTTGCATTATCTAAAAGCAGAGTAACTTCTCTAAAGAAGCTTACACTTCCGCGCTTGGAACTGATGGCAGCTACTATTGCTGCTAGAATAGCTAATTATCTGGAAACACTCTTTAACATCAAGGAATGCAATATTTACTGCTTTAGCGACTCTCAGCTAGTACTTCATTGGATAAAAGGCTCTGCTAATAATTGGAAGCTATCGTAGCAAATCGTATTAGAGAGATACAGAATTTAATCGCTCCTTCTCAATGGCAGTTTTGCAAGGGATCTGAAAACCCAGCAGATGTTATATCACGAGGTGCGAAGTTGATAGATCTAATAGACAGTGAATTTTAGTTTCACATTTCACCTTGGCTAAGGCAAGGTAACTTCAGTAATCAAAGGGTTGTTGAACCTATTTTAGATCTTGAACTTAAGGAACTTTCTCTTGAAGAGCAGCGAAAAACTGTGGTGGGCGTTGCATTCAATAATCAAAAATGAATTTGACCTTCTTACTAAATTTTCATTCTGGAATCAGATCAAACGTGTAGTGGCATGGTGTCTTAGGTTTGTGAAAAATGCCAGTTCTTCAACATTAAAAGTTAAAGGAGTTTTAACTGTTCCTGAACTCAACAGAGCTTCAGACATTATTGTGCGCTTAGTCCAAGAAAGTGATTTTAAAGCCGAAATCTCGGCATTAAGAGAAATGGAAAACATCAGCTCTAACAGTAGAATTATCTCCTTGAACCTCTCTTGGACAACGAAAATATTCTTCGCGTTGGAGGAATGCTAAGGAATGATAATATACCTGAAAATCAAAAGCACCATGCAATTCTTTCTAAGAAGCATCACGTGACTGAATTAATAATTAAGCATTTTCATGAAACTCATCTTCATGGAGGAACTTCAGTTACAATTTCGGCTATCCAACAGAAATATTGGATAATTAACTGTAGAGACACAGTACGCAAAGTTATTAGAAACTGCATGAAATGCTTCAGAAATCGTACAAATACACCATCGCAAATAATTACCGATCTTCCGGCATCTCGAGTTGTGCCAAGCAGAGTTTTTTTTCTAGAGTAGGCCTTGATTATGCAGGGCCATTCCTTGTGAAACCCCGCAAGGGGAGAGGAGTGAGGCCAATCAAGTTCTATGTATACCTGTTCATATGTTTTACCGCGAAGGCAGTACACTTGGAAGTGTAAGTGATTTCTCTTCAGAAGCTTTTTTGGCAGCATTAAAAAGGTTCGTAGCCCATCGGGGCAAACCGCAAGAGATGTTTTCTAATCAAGAGACTAACTTTGTTGGTGCAAATCGTGAATTAAAAGGAATTATGGCATCCATTTTATCATCAGAAAAGTTCCAAAACCAGTTAACACAAGCAAACATTGTTTGGAAATTCAATGCTCCCTCCGCTCCACATTTCGGGGATAGGAACTCAACTGCTCACATCTGAAGAATTTCTCACCTTGATAACTCAAATTGAAGCTTGCCTAAATTCCAGACATATATTGACGATTTCCAATGATCCTGATGACTTAAGTACTTTAACATCTGGTCACTTCCTTGTTGGAACCGTCCTAACAACCATTCCTAACCAAATATGATTGATGATAAGGTAACGCCTATTGAACGTTGGAAACTAATTCAGCAACTTTTTCGGCTCTTTTGGAAACGGTGGTCATCCGACTATCTCTCCCAATTGCAAGGACGTGCAAAATAGCTAAAGAACAAACCAAACTTAAATACCAATGTCTTGGTGCTGGTAAAAGATAACTTACCACCTTTAAAATGGCGTCTAGGTAGAGTAATTAATGTTTACCTAGGATCTGATGGAAAAGTGCGAGTAGTGGACTTAAAAACTATCCATGGTGTAATTAAACGTCCTGTGAACAAACTCTCGCCGTTACCATTTTGCCATCGTGAAAATTAATTACTCTAAAAATTTTATTCTTATTTTTACATATAATTCATTGTATTTGTATTTTAGTTTCATTTTAGTTTCGTAGTAATGTTTTGTGTCTAAGTATAGTAAGTATATTAATAATTTTCTCTTTCAGCTTATGGAGATTTTGAAATTCCTATTTTAAATTTAACTTGTCATATAATATTTGTTGAAAATCTTGTTAATATTTAATATTATATTAAAATAATTCTAAATCTGAAGCTTGTGATGAACAGTTGTTCATCGCGGGCCAGTATGTTATGAAGTATTACGATAGGGGGCGCTGACACGCAAAAAGAGTTAGTGAGGCTTTGTAACTCATCATGCGAAGACGTGTCTTGAAGCGTCAATAAGGAGCACAATCTTGTATCGCCATTCTTTTAATCTTCCGTCCGTTTATTGTATATAATGTTGTGTATTGGGTTTAATATTCGTAATAAATAATGTGTGTGAACTTCGCTTAATCCTTGAAACGTTACCGAACAGCATCTTGTAACTACACCTCTGGATATTTGGAGCTTTCATAATCGCTCACCTACAGTCTCATTTACACGTTATCAATGATAAAATATTTAGTCATTATTTAAATACAAGCAATAAATTATAAAAAAATTATGAAATAAAGAAAAATAATTGACTGGCATTCAGAGAATGAAGAAATGGCTTTGAATATTCAATAAACTGGATATAATAACAACGTTACAAATAAAAATACGAATATCCCCAATTTGTCATTCTGTCAAGAAAGCAAACTTTGCCATTAAGTGTTCCAAGATAGCCAATTCAAAACTTTTTTTTCCTTCCTTTTCTTCAGACTGCCAAAAAGGCCAAGTGAGACTTTTGTTTATGGTAGTTTTGGTTATAGTTACAGTTTTCATGCAGGTTTCACTGAAACGTTTTTTTCCCCGCTGTATTGGATGGTGAAAATAGAAAAATTCTGGTAACCTTAGTTTGTACGTTAATTGGAGATATGCGAGAAAAACCGTCTAACCATTAAATTAAAAAAAAAAAAAAAAAAAAAAAAAAAAAAAAAAAAAAAAAAAAAAATCTAGAAACATCGTGTAACCAATTTTGAAAAAAAAAAAAAAAAAAAAAAAAGTCGCTTTCATAACATTGTATTATCATTGACAAACAGTTGTGTTTACAATAATTGTACTCGATATCTTATGAGGAAGTAGTTTAAGAATCGATGACAAAATTTCAGGTTCAGTGAAACACCATGAGTAAACTAAATAAAAGTTTATAATTAGATTAATTTCATCCTGTTTATAATGTGTTTTACTGAATATAATATTCTTATAAAAGTTCATTAAAAATGCTTTTTTAAAGGACAAACATATAGATGGAATATTGAAATGGAATGATGAATGCAAAGAAATAGCCAGAGAGGTAAATATCCTATTTTTCTTTCCATTTGGCATGATAAGGCATCAGATAATAAAAACAATATTTACACAATAACAATTAATGAAATGCTTTGACATATTTTTATTTTTAAAATAAATCGTAATTTCAGATGTTCCACCAGCTGGATATCAATGATGATGGAATATTATCAATCAGTGATTTCGAAAAAGTGTCTTACGAGGTAACTTTCTTAAATATAAGCAATACAAATTTGGAAAAAAGCCACTTATGTGATGCTTTGTGTTCATAAAAAGAGACTTTCAGTGTGATGTCATAGTCATGTGAAACCTACGATAGTAAAAAAATAACTTTTTTTAGAAAAATAATGTCAACTGCTCGTGGAATCTGATGACAGACGGCGAAGTTATAAGATTCCTCAGCAAGTAACATAGAAGATATAAAACACCTTAAACAGAAATAAAGTGTCGTAATGAGAGAAAGCAATCTTCAAATATAAGAAGGTGGCCCAAAAGAACAGCTATTCCAATGATTTCTTTCTTTAGGAATTTACTATTAAAGAAACTGCTGGTGAACAAAAGCGAAATCTTTCATTGCATTCAAACAGCACATAGACATAGTTTTTCCTTTATGTAATATGTTATTCTACAGCTTGTATAGATATAAGAAGGTTATTATTTAAGAATTCTATACTCAACCAACAAAGGTATATATGGTGATATACTAACTCGGCAAGGGAAAATTGACAGTTGCTGTATTTTTTCAAAAATGAAAGTGAGTTATTTATCACTCTTGTGAACACAAAATAAAGTTGTGTATTAAAAATGCACTGTATATGAAGGGAAGATTAAACATTTTTCTAATTTATGATTGTATTTTCCGAAGGAGAAACCCTCAAATGGCTAAAAGTTTCGTCCCCAAAGTTCCCGAAATACCCGTGATAATTAGATATTTTCTTGATTATGATTCCAAAATATTCTTCCCACTTAGTACATACAAGGGAAAATGTACTGCTTTAACCTCGCTGATTTCGTCCAAATCCTCCACAATGAGCATTTAAAATTAATATTTATGCCAAAGGAAAGCGCACTGCTCGTATTTAAATGAGAATAACTGAGGTTAAAAATTAAAGTAGCATTCATAATTATAATATTAAATTTCCATTCTTTCGCAGCGAATGCGGATGGTCTCGTTGTTAACACATCTACTAATCAGAAGTTCTCAATTCAGACTTAGCAGAAACAATAAATTTATATTCCTGTTGAAAAAATCACTGAATGCCCACTTTCCCCTCTTTGACATTTTCAATTTGCGGCCACAAATTGATGAAAACTGCAGAATAAAAATTTATATTTTCATTTATTAATTACGGCATAAATGCGTTGCAAAAGTAAAGCCGGGGGGGGGGCTAACGCTACAAAACAATCACAACGGATTTACAATAGACATATCTTCATTTCTTTCATTTTTCTTATTATTCTCAATCAAGGTGTAAAACGAAGGAAGATTTCACTTCCTATCTCCATGGTTATATACAAAAGAGGCTTTAAGGAGGAGCGAGGCACCAAATACAGAAGGCCGTGCACCTAATAATCAAGACTTTTTCTAGAACATTGAAAAGCAGCTTTTATGAAATATTCTACAATGATTTCTTTATTTTTGTTTAAAGATGATACCAAAAACGTTTGGCTCAAAATACCAAGTACAGTACAGCCAGGCCTCATGACTGAACGGTTTAAAAAAAAAAAAAGAATTCTTACTACCTTCTTATATCCATGATCTCTACATAAGTAATTGCTAGTACTGGCACAAACTTTTGACGTGTTATCGTCGAAGAAATTTATCATATTATCGTTATATTCAAAGCACTTATAACAAGACAAAACTAGAATTAAATTAAGATGGGACGGGCAATATAACGGCACTTTCCCGTTTAAAATGGGACGAATAGTTAGCCTATATTCGAAATACTGATACCAGCTCTCAAAGAACCTTAAAAATTCGAGGTTACTTCTGCAGTTCATAAAAGGATTTCATGTAAAAAAATGTTATTTCTCATATTCAGATTGATGTAATTTTTACATTCAAAAAGCCTTAACTATATTTTGTTAGGAGCTGCTAGATGTAGCTGGCAGAATTGAAGACAGATTGGCCGACTTTCAAGACATAATAGATGACCAACAACTAGAAAATAAGGTAAAATATATTAAAAATCGAAATTTCGTATTGAATAATGTACCGACCAAAGTAATGTTTAATTTTCTTTCCTAAAGGGTTCCGTATTTGATATTGCTAAAAAAGCTAGTGACCAAACAGATGAGATTCGAAAGTTAATAGAAGATGGATTCAGTGAAATCTTCAACGATATTGAAGCAGCAAAATCAGATGGTAGGTTCAAATTAGATTTACTATATGCCTTTTGACATAGTTTTTTTAGCGTTGACGTCAAACACACAAGGTGGTCATATTAATATAATTCAACACTGCATTATGAGTGAGTAATTATATATAGCAAAGACTCCAAGGATCTCTATCTTAGAAGTGGTGCTTTCACTCAAAACTTTAAAAGAAAACTGTCTTATTTGCTTTACACAAATCTTGAAAATCATAAAACTGCACGCAACCATACCCTTCAAATCTTATAAACAGAATCGGTAGCGAACTATCTGCATTCAGTAGTCTTTTTTACTCTGCCGCTAGTTCAAAAGGATTTCACGATTAAATATCTTCTGGCTGGTTGGTCACAAGACCATGATTCTAATTTTAAAAAAATGAAACATAAGATAAAATTTACAGTCTACCGGAAGAAGCGCACAATACTCACCAATTTATCTTAAAAACATGCACATTTTGGACGAAATTGGTAAGCCAAATTGTGCCGTTTGTACTCGTGAATGCACAGTCTAGTGAAATCGTGAATGCAAAAGTCCTAGGATGTCATTATTTGAAAAGAGTTTAAAATAAATAAATAAATAAATAAATAAAGGCTTTAATTTCGACCTAACATTTACACTATTTAATTTATGCATTTGCTGGAATCTGGTTGACAATATAGACCACAGCTATGAGTCAGATTGCCTTAGAAAGGCATACCTCCCTTTAGGTAGATAGACCTCAGTGCTTTGCGATAATCAAGCAAACATTAACCTAAACAAGGTAGTATTACAAATGGAAAGTTCACGCTTCCGAAACTAGCACCGACTGAGAGTTTTTATTAACTATTTTATTTTGAAATAGAACCTATTCATGGGGGGCGGATTAAGAGAATGACGAAAGAAATAATAGAAATAAATGATTTAATGCAAAAATTTCTATTAAAAAATTAATTGTTTGTTTATCTTATTCTAATTTATTTTATTCTTCTAAAATTTATTTACAGTTGAATAGACGACATTTATAATAATAATGCCCAGAATGTAAAGTACTTGCAGTGGATACAAAATAAATAAATTGAATTTTTTATTTTTAATGCATTCTTGAGCAATAAAAATACAAAAAAAAAAAAAAAAAAGTACGAGTTCAAATCCTCTCAAGTTAAAATCAAATCATCTTCAGCAATCAATCTTTTCTCTTCCTTCCAGCATCTGGAAGGAATAAGTATCAGTATCTTCTAAATACATTATGATTTACACTTTCTTGACACTGAATAAAGTTTTTTTATCCTTTTATTTTCCTTAATTAACTGCTTAATTCACATTCATTCAAGTATTCAAACATGAATTTAACTTTACCCTGGTTCTCCACCATGTGTGGTGTCAAACGGGAATATTCGTGTTTTAGTATTGCAACACTTCCCCTAACCACAATGATTTGTTAGAATTCAACGACCAAATAGACACACCTTACTCGACATTCTAAAACTCGATGAGCTATTTTAACATTCTTAAAATTCAAGTGTAGGTGGAGAACCCTACAAAACACATTCATTCTAAATTCCCCCTCATTCATCTTTAGACATGCAGGCTTTCGCTCTAAAGCATGATTTTATCTATAGTTTAATACTTAAATTTGAATTCATTGCTTTTGAGCATTTACTTTTAGCATCTAAAATTTTATGCTTCTAGAATAAATTCTACTTTTACATAACTTTCAAGTATTTACGTATATTTACAAAATTCTAATACGTATGATTTTTACAATTTACCACAAAATGAATAAGAGAAAAATAAATTTTTACTTTCAATTTCTTCGCCAAGCTGGCGGCACTGAAACTAAATTTCTTATTAATACAAGAATACGAAGTTATTTTTACTTTCGGCCAAATTTTGGCTTTAACATAACAGAATTAGTCTTTCGACCAACAGAAACTGCTTGTTCTTAGATTTTATACTTAAAGAAAATAATACTTTTGCCTTAGCTAAATAAAGTAAAACAAAACTAAGTCTCAACCGAGACAAATTGACTTCCGTCAAAACATAGAACTTCGTATTTACGCATAACATTTCGGAACAAAAGAAAAAAATTTATAGAAGATTTTAACTTATCTTTGAGTTTTCGATGATTGGAACTCCGACATCCTCTTCTGGCAGAATTGATCCCACGTTATGGAATTCATAGAAGTCACTCGTCTCCTTTTGGGTTCTTCGAGTTTCGTCCATGGTTGACTTTTCTTTTTCGCCCTCTGTATGCTGGCCTCTTGGAGTGGTAGTCTTCGGGTTGCTGTCTTTTCCGTTTTGCCCCTGGACGGCTGGTCTTGGCGGCCTCCGGTCTGGAATCTTGCTTGAATTTCTTCTGTTGGTGGCCAATCTTTTCGTTCCTCCTGCTGTCTTTTTCGTTCTCGTGAACGGCGGCCTTGTTTGCACCTGACTATCTGGCCCTGGAAGTGGTTCTCCTCGATGCAGAATTTCTACTGCGATACGTTGTAACTGGTCTTTTCCTCTTTACCAAAGATTCTTTACGCGGCGGCGTTGATTTTCTTGTATTTCTTAAATGCTGGAGTCTGACCAGTTTTCCTTTCCTTTCTTTTCGGTACCGTCGCATGACTTGTAGAAGGGCTAGGTTCCTCTTCTGTTCTCTGTTTCTTGGGTGGTGGAGCGGGTGACGTTACTTCTGGACCTTCTACTTCTTTTGCGCTTGAGTCCTGCAAGAAACTTTTAAGGATTTCAAAGTCATTTTGATTATAATAATTTTTCACCTGGTCGGGATTTGCTTTGCAGTTTCCCCTCTCTCGTTCTTAAGGTACAATACGACTCATTTGATTTCCAGAATTACATAGGGGCCTACAAATTTTGGAGCTAACTTTGCAGTAAAATTGTCTGGGGCACTTGATAAAGAAAATTTCCGCTTTTAACAACTTTACTTTATCCCCAACTTTAAAATCTGCTTCACGGCGTTTTCTATCATAGTACATTTTTTGTCTATTTCTTGCCGTATCCGAGCTTTTAACCGCCTGGTCAATGAGTTTTGCACATCTTTTTTGTTTAAATTCTTGCTCTCTTTGTTGCACAAAGAATAATTTATCTAATGGCGTAATTAACTTTCCGTCCTAAAAATAATTCTGCTGGGAGTTTTTCCCGTAGTATCGTGATTTGCCGTTCTTAAAGCATAAGCTAACTCATTTATGTAGCCATCCCAGCGCTTGTGATGTGTGCTAACATAACTTCGAATTATTTTTACAATATTTTTTATTAACTCTTTCTGCTATGTTTGCCTGTGGTCTATACGGAACCATTTTGATATGGCGTATGCCAAGTCCAGTGCAAATGTTTTCAAATATTTGGCTAACGAATTGTTTACCGTTATCGCTAATGACTTTTATCGGTGCACCGTATTTTAAAATGTATCTGTGTAAGAATGCATCTGCGACTGTTTTGGCTGACGCGCGTTTAAGTGGAACAATTTCTGTCCATTTTGAAAAATGATCTACAATTACTAAAAGAAAACGATTTTTATTTAACTCACTCTGGGGGAAAGGACCAAGAAGATCTATGCCTAAAATTTCATTCGGAAATGTAGCGCGAATGCTATTTAAGTACCCGGCCGGGCTGTAATTAATATCATTTATTAACTGACATTGATTGCAGGACCTGACATACGCAGTTACTATTTTGTATAATTGCGGGAAATATACCGCCTCGCGTACCCTTTTTAAAGTCTTTCTGACCCCTAAATGACCCGCTGTTTTCGCGTCGTGTAATTCCTTCAAAATGCTTAATCGAAGCGAGGCTGGGATGACTGGTTTGTACTCGAGATTTTCGTTTGTTGTTTTCGTATAAAATAATAAATTATCTATTATTTCATAGTTTTCTGCTCTATTTCTTATCGCATCGATATCTGTGTGTTCAAAGCTTTCGGGGTCTTTCAAATACGCATAGATACTTCCAAATTCAGGATCAGCTTTCAATTCAGCAATAATTGTTTCTCTAGAATCTAAAATTTTTGAAGTCAACACAGCGCATTTGAGTTCATTGCCTTCCTTCATCCGTCCAGTTTTATATAGTGCGTCAGCTACATTGTTTTCCTTACCCGGTTTATATTTAATTATGAGATTATATTCTTGGAAGTTTTAAAGCCCATCTTATTAACCTGGGCGTTAGGTTTTTCCCCGAGTAAAGTCTACCAACAGCCGCATGATCCGAAAAGACTGTTACTGGCGCTTTGCCGAAATAAACTCGAAATTTGTGTACAGCCATTAATACGGCTAATGTTTCTCTCTCTGTAGCTGTATAATTCCTTTGTGTATGATTTTCAAAGTTTTACTAAAAAATGCCAAAGGATGGCCATTTTGCATGAGAACCGCACCCTACAGCATAGTCCGACGCATCTGCTGCAATTTCCAGGTTTTCGTCCCCTCCGGGAATTTCAAAACAGGGGCATTGATGAGCGCTTCTTTTAACCTTTCAAATGCGGTATTTGCTTCTGCTGTCCACGTGAATTTACTTTTCTTTCTTTTAATTACTAACAAGGGTTCAACAATATTAGCAAAATCTTTTATGAATGACCGATAATAAGAACATAACCCAAGGAAAGAAGAAAGTTTCTTGGCGGTGTTGGGAGGTGGGAAATTCTTGATTGGCTTTTATTTTTGAATCTTGAGTTTCTATACCCTTTTGCGAAATTTTATAACCCAGATATTTAAGTTCTTTAGTTGCGAACTTGCATTTTGAGGCGTTAATTGTAAGACCGGCCTCTTTTAATAATTTAAAAACTTCTTCTAGATCTTTAATATGTTGTTCCAACGTACTACTCGTTATAATTATATCATCTAGATAGATTAAAGTCGATTTTCCTAGGACAGGCTTTAGAACAATGTCCATAGCTCTCTGGAATGTTGACGGGGCCCCACACAACCCAAAGGGCATGCGTAAAAATGCATAAGTGCCCGATTTTGTTATAAACGCGGTTTTATGTATGTCTTCGGGTCTCATAGCTATTTGATAGTAGCCAGA